GGCTGGCGCCGGGCCGCGTCGTTGCGGACAGCGCCGGCCCGATCAGCCCCTGGCGTGCGTGTCGTGCGTGACCTGGCGCTAGGCTGTATGCGGTCATCTGTCGACAATACATGTGCCGCGGTCGTCGGCCCGTCTCCTGCCGGTCGGGGTTGGGGGACATTAAAGCCTGCATGGCGTGGCGTGCCGCCGCCGTGGTGCGTGCCCGTTGGTCAGCTTGTGTCCTGTGGCCCCGCTGCATAACAGGTACGTGAGGTTGAGTGAATTGGTTGTATTGGACCGTGTTTCGTGTTCGATGTCGTGCTGACGCGAAGGAAAATGAAAATCTATGACTGATCATTGTGCTGAAATTGATGATGGCATGTACACATATGAAGTACAGCATCGTAGTACTACCGGGAAGAGTTTCTTCTTCCGAATTACTGCTACGAAATATGCCATTTACGCCCTTTTGTACGGCAGACGGTGTATGGGTACACCAGCCGCGCATCAATTCACTTCATGTACATGAGACTGGTGCTCCGTACAAAATGATCGACTCCATCGAAACAAAGGTTCTCCTGATGTTCCATGACATACCTCCTCTGAGATCGGGTGCAAGTGTTCTTTGACAGCGGGCTGCTTCACCCCACGTGTCGACCCTGCCAAGGCTGTCGTGTATTCCCACCAGCGCTGCATGCCCTGCGGAACGCCCGTATTGTGACAACCCTGAGACGCTCGCCGCTTTCCCCAGATGAGCGCTGTCCGTAGCATGCCCTGGTGTTCTCGAAGGACCTCCGCCCTGGCGTGCTCGGGCGCTGACACCGGGCCGTCGCGTTGCAGGGTCTGGAGGCGCGCGAGCCATCGAGCGGGTCGCAGACAACAGACCCGACGGCCGCCGGACGGACGGCCCAGGCCACAGACCAGACCAACGGGCCGTGGCCGAACGCGGCCCCACGCTGGACGCCGGCGCGGCCCGGGCAGTCGCGCTGGGGCGCGGCGCCGCCGACGCCCGGTCCGCCGCCCCAGCCCCAGCAGCGGCTCTCGAGGCCCGGCCCTCCGCCTCAGGAGGGACTCGTGAGGCCCCTCCCTCCGCCCCAGCCTCAGCAGGGGCCCGTGAGGCCCGGTCCGCCGCCCCAGCAGGGGCCCCTGAGGCCCTGCCCTCCGCCCCAGCACGGGCCCGCGCAGGCTGGTTGGAGTGCAGCGGCGTCTCCCAAGCCAACTCAGTCCCCCCAGCCGCCACCCAATCTGGCTGCTTCGCAAGCCTCCAGTAAGGGCGGCTGGAGCCCGGCGGCTTCTCCGAAACCTAGCTCATCTCCGGCACAGGCCTCCAACAAAGTTGGCTGGAGTTCGGCAGCGTCTCCAAGATCGAATCCGACCACTCAGCCGCCACCCAGCCCGGCCGCTTCGCAGGGCTCCGAGAAGAGCGGCCGGAGCCCGGCTGCCTCTCCCAAGCCGACCACGACCGCGCAGCCGCCACCGAGCCCGGCTGCTTCGCAGTGCTCCAACAAAGGCGGCTGGAGCCCGACAGCGTCTCCCAAGCCGAGCCCGGCTGCTCCTGAGGGGGCCGCCAAAGGCCCGTCGGCATCGCCACAGCTCAGTGCGGCCGCCCAGCCTCGGCCGGGCCCGATTGCGCCGCTGTTGCCTAGTCCGACCGCCCAGCCAGCCCAGCCGTCCGCCGGCCAGAGCCAGGCAGTCCCGCCGGGCCCCGGCCAGCCGCACCGGTTCGGGCCGGGCGGTCCCGGCCAGCAGCGGCCCGGCTGGGGCCAGGCCCAGCAGCGGCCCAATCAGCCGTGGGTCCGGCGGGGCGGCCCGCTCCTGCAGCAGGGCCCGGCTCGGTGGACGGCTCCCGTCCGCCCCATGCTCTGGAGACAGCGGCAGCCGCGGCCGCGGCCGCCGCCCTGGTAGGCTGGCCGCCGCTGAGCGCTCGGCCTGCGCTGAGCGCCGGGGCGTGCGCGGCGCGCTCGGAGCTGGCGCCGTGTGCGCTGCGGCGTCCGTCCGCCGCCGTGGGAAGACACCGAGACGGCAGGCGTCGGGCGACGGCGTGGCGTGTGAAAGCGCAGCGCAGCGGGCCGGCTCCGTGTTTGGCAGGAGAACGCGCGTGGCGCCGCGGCCCTGACATGGCCGATGCCCGTCGCACACGCCGCTGACCCGAGACGGTCGGCTCGGCGAGCGGCGGACTGCCGCAGGACCGTCGTCATGGACCCCGCGCCGGGTCGAACAGGGCGGCTTCCGTGGCCACCGGACAGCGGTCAGATGGACGGCTTCCCTGCGGAGGCTAGCGATGCACCACTGGGACAGCGTCTGCGCGCCGGACGTGGATGATGTCATGGCACGTGTGGCCAGCGGCGGCTGTGCCGACGAGCGTAGCGAAATGTTTCCCGCCGGCTCGGCGGGTACACTCTGGCATGCGCTACGTGGCAGGCCGGAATGGCCCGTTTACGCTGGCGCGAGCGCTGTACAAAACGCACCGGCGCCACCTCCGAGATGGGGAACCCCACTCTTCGAGGAGCGTCCGGCGGTTGGCGTGCTGTCATAGGTAGAGCAAGTCCCTCATGGTCATTTGCGTGGATGTGGAACACGTGATCAGGAAGTCTGTTGGTTTGAAGTAGTGAGCTTTGACCGAAGCCTAGAAGACCGTTTGATTTCATGCGAGGTGCACGGGTGTTAATTAGTCGTCGGGTGGCATGACCGGATGGCTTTTCAAACGCCTGTTTAGGATGGTTAAATGCCGCTGCTTCTGCTGAGAGAACGTGATAGGCTCGCTTCTGGCGCGGGTGCTACAGCGGGTCAGGTGGCGTTACGTTGTAGGCGGGATCACTGGACACCGGTTCTGGCGGCAGCTAGTCATTTGCTTCGTCTTTCCAACTGACTGCCATGAGAACCGTACTGTGCGCTGGCAATGCGTTGATTCACTAACATGGGAGTGAAATGGAGGATTTGTCGTCGAACCGGGGTGTTCGGTGTTGCTGGTGTACACTCATACTAACTTCGGTTTGTAATTTCCATTTGTATGACATGCAATGTGAAGTGTTGGCCCCGTCAGGTGGTGGTGCAATGCGTCACATGTATTTCAGCTATATGTTGTGAATAAAAGTACTGCTTCATCAGCGCTGGCTGGACGTTTTCATCGGCGGGAACAGGTACCGTAGGCCTGGAAATTCTGTATTAAGGAATGAGGTTCTTCGAGGCGCATGCTACTTTAAGCTATATGTAGTCACATTAACTTCTGAAGCTGCTGCGTAGTGATGTGGCACGGAGTGTTGAGCCGTGCCGACATTTTCGGGGTAAAGTGGGTCGTGTGTAACTGTTGTATTTCATTCCTTTTTTCTCGTGCGTTATGCATTTGTTTTTTGTCGTTTCTGACAGCACTTTTGAGGCCCGGTAGTCTGTATGTGATTCGCGCCGGAGCGTGGTTCGTTTGTCTTATCATTGAACGAAGTCGATTATCCATCTGCAGGTGCTCTGCAGACCTCGGGCTTCCATGTTGTAACAAACCAGATCATGTGATAATGTGGACACAACGCATATTTATTGACAAACGCGTCCATTGCACTATCGGAACCAGGTCTGAGCACCTCCCGTTGAGCACTCCTGGCCTTTGGCTATCGATCTAAAAAATAGCTTTTGGTGCCGGCGCACCTTTATGACGCAGCTAAGTGCACTCCAGCAGGCCAGGCCACCACCCTCCGCCCGCCCGCAGCCCCATGGCGTTCCAACCCGAACCGGAACCGGCCTTGAGCCTGCCGGATCCTCCTGGCAGAGCTCGCAGCATCCCTAAGCACGCCCTTTCCCTCTGCAGACTCCACCCAAGCACACCGAGTGCACTCCGTGACACGGGCGCCACGGAACCTTACCAGGACCGTCAGCAGCATCAGCGTATGACATATGGACGGAATCGGTCGCAAACGGCGGCGGTGGCTACGTTTGTACACTGACGAGATCACAGGCGCGTTGGACGGTGTAGTTCATCGCCTGGAACGTGTTCCCATGGCGCACAGCAATCCCCTGGCCGGACTTTATCACATAGGGTAACAGTCGTGCTTTGACGCGTATCATCCACACAAATGCCCGTCTCCCCCCCCCCCCCCCCCTTCCAGCCGACAGCCGGGCCACACGTGTCGTGCACACGTCGGTGCAGCAGCCGCCGTACCTAGACGCAACAACCCGGCCGCAGGTGACTAGTGACGATATGCGCCGAGTGGAATATGACTAGCATCGCCTGCCGAACGCTCGCAGACTAGACAAGGTGCCCCGGTACCTGCTACAGTGAGAGCTGGTGCTGGCAATCTGCTGAGCGCGCCGGCGATCCGAACAAGGGTGAACCCAAGAGCGGAAGACACCGAGACGCAACAGATCGACACAGATGTGCACCGTGCTCACAGCAACGCCGGGCCGGACCCGAGCTTTAGAAACGGTCACGTGATAGCGACTCAGGTCCCCTGTGTGACGAGTGTGGAGCACACGTGGTACGACATGACACATATCTAGCCACCTATGCGGGACGGAGACGAGGAACCACAAACGCGGGCATGGACTGCCCGGAACGACTACAAACAACGGTACACAACATTTACTCGGAAGGGTTATCACCCGACGGTGGATCGCCAATACGTGTTCCAATGCCTCCCCCCCCCCCCCCCCCACTCCCTCACATCCAGCACCCAAGACAACAATGAGGTGGACAGTCCCGTTCGGGGTCAACAGCGTCAAACCAACACCAACAAACATATCAACACCATCACAGTGCAGACCAAACGTCGGTGAGACACGCCATCGGTGTCAGTGAGTGCCCGCATCTCCGCGAGCGAGCGCGGCAGCCGGCAGCGGCGGGGCTGCCAGCCCCGCAGCGCTGAAGCGCCTGGCCACGCCCACCAACGGCCGGTAACGGGGCGCGGCGTACGGCGCCACGTGCAGCACGCGGCCTCTCCATCACCCCCGCAAATCTCGTGAGCGCACGTGTGAACCCGCGGTACCACGTGCCGCTCATCCGGTGCTCTCGTGGGGCCACGGCGGGCCGCGCGCTAGACGTGGCTACTGCGGAGCGGCTCGCCCGCGTACACAGGGTAACCGAGCGGGGGGTCGGCCGCCTGCACCGTCAAGTTCCGCAGGATGGTGGAGTGCGCCTGCCGACACAGCGACGGCCGGTCACGGGGCGGCAGCTGGCGGTCAGCCCGCACCTGGGCCGCGGCGGTGCTGCTGAATAAGCCAGCCAACGACGGGTCGGCGCAGAGGTTCTGACGGAGCTGTGAGCGGACCATTGCAGTCCTTGCCACTGACGCCGACCGTCAATGCGACTACACCAAGAGCAGGATCGCCAGCATACTGCACCGAGGTAACTGGATCACCAGCGCGCAACACCGAGGCAAGCCGGACCCAGCATCGTGACAACCACAGACGTTCATACTCAGCCCCACATAAACAGCTGATACTCATCAGCGCCGCGCCTGTAGAAGGCCAGTGCGGACAGAAGCCGAACGCGGCACCTCACCTGGATGCTGCAGCGCCCCTCGTCTCACCTGGATGGTGCGGCGCCCCTCGTCCCACCTGGATGGTGCAGCGCCCCTCGTTTCACCTGGATGATGTAGCGCTCATCGTCTCACCTGGATGCTGCAGCGCCCCTCGTCTCACCTGGATGCTGCAGCGCTCATCGTCTCACCTGGATGCTGCAGCGCCCCTCGTCTCACCTGGATGCTGCAGCGCCCCTCGTCTCACCTGGATGCTGCAGCGCTCATCGTCTCACCTGGATGCTGTAGCGCTCATCGTCTCACCTGGATGCTGCAGTGCCCCTCGTCTCACATGGATGCTGCAGCGCTCATCGTCTCACCTGGATGCTGTAGCACTCAACGTCTCACCTGGATGCCGCAGCGCCCATCGTCTCACTTGGATGCTGCAGCGATCATCGTCTCACCTGGATGCTGCAGCGCCCCTCGTCTCACCTGGATGCTGCAGCGCTTATTGTCTCACCTGGATACTGTAGCACTCATCGTCTCACCTGGATGCTGCAGCGCTCATTGTCTCACCTGGATGCTATAGCGCTCCTCGTCATCGTTGGTGACGTAGAGCAGCTCGAGCGCGAGGCTGGCCCAGACGCCGCGCACCAGCTCGCCACTCAGCCGACCCACAGACACCGTCTGGTCGCCCAGGCTCAGCAGGTGTGAGGTGTACGTGTTCTGCAGGTGGACGGGGCACGGCCGTCACGGCAGGCGCAGCCGCCGCTCAGGGCGCGTCGAAATACGCCCACCAGCACGGAACAGCAGCTTTCCCTTGCTCCCATGGTGCCATCGTCCCAGGCCGAGTCACGCCAAGTCCACGAGCAATCCGCATGGCACACCATATTTCATCAGCCAGGCTTGGCCTTACGGGGCCTCACCAGCCAAGACTTCGGCACAGGGAACCTCATCCCTTCTCCAATCCGCTCAACACGTACTGAGCGCGTGTCTGACGCCGAAAAATACGGACCTACCCAATTTCGCGCCCCCTCCTCCTCCGCTCGCCCCCTCCTTCCCCGCCGCCCGCCCCCTCCTTCCCCGCCGCCCGCCCCCTCCTTCCCCGCCCGCCCTTCCCTAAACCCAGCGTCCTCCCCTCCCCGTCATCACTCACGCCACCTGCCCCGGTCCCACCACTGCCGCGCGCCAGCCCTCCTGGCTGCCATCATCAGCGTCCCCAGCCGGCTTCCCTGTTCCGCCCTAGCCTTGCTCCCCTTCAGCGGCCTGTTCCGCCCTTACCACGCTCCTCTCCCGCGGCCTGCTCCGCCCTAGCCTCGCTCTCCTCCTACGGCCTGCTACACCCTAGCCTCGCTCCCCTCCCGCGGCCTGCTCCACCCTAGCCCCGCTGCCTTCCCGCGACCTGCGCTCCCTTCCGCGGCCTCCTCCACCCTAGCCTCGCTCCCTTCCCGCGACCTGCTCCTCTCCAGCCTCGCTCCCCTCCCGCGGCCTGCTCCGCCCTAGCCTCGTTCCCCTCCCGCGGCCCGCTCCACCCTAGCCTCGCTCCCCTCCCGCTGCCTGCTCCGCTCCAGCCTCGCTGTCTTCCCGCGGCGTGCTCCGCTCTAGCCTCACTCCCCTCCCGGCGTACTCGAACGTCGTCGTAGCCGAGCGAGAAGAGAAAGGGCGTCTGTTCCAGCACGGCGTCGCGCCAGCCCGGGTCGGCGTCCAGGCCGATGTACCAGCTGGCCGCGTACTCCTCCAGCGTGTCCAGCAGCTCGTCGTCCGAATCCAGACCGCCCAGCAGCACAGAGTCCAACGCCAGCTTCAGCGACCATCTGGCGGAGGGGGGGGGGGGGGGGTGGCGGGGCGGGCGAGTAAGGTAGCTGGCGCAGCACGCTGAGGGCGGTGGGGATGAAGATGAATGAGATCTGATTGCTTAATTTACTTAAGCAACTCTCATCGCCCAAGATCCAGTTGTCCACTATCAATTGTCATTAGATTGTCGAGAAACGAAACAAAGAAGACTGAGGTGAGTGACTGGAAGAAGAACGACTACATGAGGGAGGCCACCGTCGGGAACCGACACTGACCTGTGGGCCCGCTGGGCGAGCGAGGCCACCGTCGGACAGTCACCGGCAGGGACCGATACCGACCTGTAATCCCGCTGAGCGAGCGAGGCCACCGTCGGACAGTCACCGGCAGGGACCGATACTGACCTGTAGGCCCGCTGGGCGAGCGAGGCCACCGTCGGACAGCCACCGGCAGAGACCGACACTGACCTGTGGGCCCGCTGGGCGAGCGAGGCCACCGTCGGATAGTCACCGGCAGAGACCGACACTAACCTGTGGGCCCGCTGGGCGAGCGAGGCCACCGTCGGACAGTCACCGGCAGACACCGACACTGACCTGTGGGCCCGCTGAGCGAGCGAGGCCACCGTTGGACAGTCACCGGCAGAGACCGACACTGACCTGTGGGCCCGCTGGGCGAGCGGGGCCACCGTCGGACAGTCACCGGCAGGGACCGATACTGACCTGTGGGCCCGCTGAGCGAGCGAGGCCACCGTTGGACAGTCACCGGCAGAGACCGACACTGACCTGTGGGCCCGCTGGGCGAGCGGGGCCACCGTCGGATAGTCACCGGCAGGGACCGATACCGACCTGTAGGCCCGCTGAGCGAGCGAGGCCACCGCCGGACAGTCACCGGCAGGGACCGATACTGACCTGTAGGCCCACTGGACGAGCGAGGCCACCGTCGGACAGTCACCGGCAGGGACCGATACTGACCTGTAGGCCCGCTGGACGAGCGAGGCCACCGTCGGACAGCCACCGGCGGGGACCGACACTGACCTGTAGGCCCTCTGGGCGAGCGAGGCCACCGTCGGACAGCCGCGGAGCCAGCTGACCCCGGGGCCGTCGGCGGCTGGGCCGCTTCTGTACAGGCCGAGCACTCGGTCGGGCGTGGAGCTGACCTCGATCTGGGGCGAGACGGGGCGGTGCTGGATCAGGCCAGGCCAGCGGTGAGGCCGATGAGATGAAACTCGATGGAACACGACCATACGATGCCACCTGCTGGAACATTCTCCATGCACACGCACATGCACGTTTGGTAACAGCTTGGCAAGAACTTCCAGTTCTCTACACTTCACCACGAAAAGTTATCGTAACCCCTCCGTCGCACTACGAGTCGTGGCAAACCACGAACTCATGTGTCAGCGGCATACAAGCGCACATTCAAAATTAGAGACAAAAAAAAACGAACACCTTGGCAGCTCAATCAGCGGTACCGGGCTCCACAACTCTCTGCCGTTGCTGACCTAACACCGCATACCTCTCTGGCGGTGCCGTGGTAGGCCGTGTCAATCAGCTGACAGAGAAGTGAGTAGTCCTCCTGGAGCTTCTCGGCGCCCTCCTCCCCTCCGAGCTCCCTCATCGCCTGCTCGCCGACGCCGAGGAGCCGGCCGAGCGCGCGCAGCCAGAACTCGCGCGGGAACGGCGAGGCCAGGGCGGGCCGCAGCGGCGGCGCGGCTCGCGTCCAGCCGGCCGGCGGCGTCAGCCGCTGGGCGGCGGCCGACGGCGGCCGCAACGGCGGTATCAGCGGCTCCCAGGCGGGCCGCGACGGGCGCCGGCCCGAGCTCGGCCGCGACAAGGCGTCGGACGGCACCACGCGCGGCGCGCTGAACAGCCGGGAGCTGCGCCGGCTGGACGGCGCCGAGCCGCCGGCAGCGGCAGCAGCGGCGGCGGCGGCGGCGGCGGCGCGTGGCGGCGAGCTGGCCGCCGACGGGATGGGCGGCAGCGTTGGGCGGCGCGCCGACAGCGAGCCCTCCTCCGGCGGCGGTGAGGTGAGTGAGCGCACCTTGATGGTGGTGCTGGTGATCGCCAGCGGCACCGACGGCTCGGCGGCCACGCCGTCGACGCCGCCCGCGTCCGCCGGCTCCTCGTCGTCGAGCATCTGCCGCAGCCAGGGCGCGGCGCTCAGCGTCAAGCCAGCCGGCTTCTTCGGTTCGAAGAGCAGCGAGCCCTGCGAGCCGTCCGACCACTCGCCCACGTCGGCCACCAGCGGCGGAGGCACCGGCGAGCTCAATGCCGTGCGGTACCGCTCGATGCTGTCCTCACGCTCCAGCGGGCCCGCCGCGTCGGGCTCGCCGCCCTTCGGCTCCAGCGCCGGCTCCGGCGCCGGCTCCGGCTCCGGCGCCAGGCAGCGCGCCGCCAGCGTCCACGCCAGCACCTTGGGGAAGAGCTCCTCGACAGCGGCGAGCGTGGCGCTGTTGTCGATGACGCCGGTCAGCTGGCTCCGCGCGTCCGAGTAGCCCGGTACCTGCAGCTGCGTGAGCGGGCTCAGCGTGTGGAACCAGAACGGCGCCAGCCGGCCCGGCGCCTCGGCGATGCGGTCCTCGTCGAACGCCGCGTCGAAGATGGCGTCCACGCGCGTGGCCTCGGCCGCGTGACACGAGGTCTCCTGCAGCTCCAGACCCTGCAGTGGCCAAGCCCGGGTCAGACGTGGTGTCGCCGGGCAGAAACAGTGTATAACAGGAACCAGTGGCCAGCCGTCACATGTACTGCCGTCCCACTGCACGCATCACCATCGCGGTGCGTATTTCCAATTCAAGAACTTTTGGAAGGGCTTAGAAAACAGAAATCATTTGGAAAAACGCAACCGTAACGACACATTTGTTCATCTCCAATAGTAGACACCGATTATGCTGAAAGGCTACAATATCAGCAAAGAAAATTTCGGCCTTGAGTAGGCACCATGTCCACGAAACCCGTTACAAAGCGTTCTACACAGTCGGAGCGATCTGGCCGGCTGACGAGTTTTCCGTGCAGGCGGTTATATCGCCACAGTTGCCGCCGGTGAGCGTTTCACACGTACGTGACCTTTCGGGATTCCGGAGCAGTCCCGCCTGGAGCGAAGTTTACCCATTGGCGGGCCGTGACGGCAGACATTCACTGTGTTCTGGTGTGTGTGTGGGGGGGGGGGGGGGGGCGTGCTCGTACCGCAAGAGGGAAGGAATCTACGAGCGCTGAGTGTGCCGGCGGGGGCCGATGCAAGTGGGGACAGCCAGCAAACACAGCGAGCCGACGCATGTCAGTGTGAAAGGTGTGAGGTGTGAAAGGCGAGATGTGAAAAACGTCGTGCGCCCCGGCGCAACGCTGACGTGCAGAGTCGGCGTTCAGCGAATGTCTACAACGGCAATAAGGGTCACACGAGTACGACAGCGCTAGCTTGTAACGTTCGCTTCTGAGGCAACGACATTATTTCCACACATCATCGCATGCCAGAAGTGTAATGCAGCTGACAAAACCAGATGGTGTCTGTCGGCAACGACTTGTCGATAGGACATTACGCCTTGTACTGTCCGTACGAAGCAGGATTCAAGACGAATCAGAGAAATGCAAAACAGTACAACTCTTCCACCCACCTTGATGCTGAAGTAGATGTATCCATTTCCCATTTCAGCCACGTAAACCCACATAAGGCGGTCCTCGAATCTCAGCAGCAAATAGTCTCCTGCCTGCACAAAACCTGAAAAAGGAATACAAATTTGTGATCCCCAACTTCCCACGCATGCATTTTTCTCAACTGCACTTCCTGGCCAAATAGGTAAACAGGTCAAGATTTTCCCGTTTACAATGAATGAAACTGCCAGGCATCTAACACTAGCCTTTACATATAACATTCACATCCCATGTTTATTGACATACTTGTAACTAGAATACAACACAGCCTCCTCCGAAACCTAGTTTGCAGCCATGCAGCTTTGTATACAGACGAGGTGGATCACAAGCAAAGAGAACAACGATTCCATACGCGTCACATCGACAACGCCTAACTGTGGAGGACGATCGCAATGAAACGTCCTCGAACGTATAGATCCGCCAGGCCAGGACTACAACATACGCCAAAGCAGTGTGAACATATCAAACTTGAACTGCAACAAGCCAACAGCCCACTACCACACCCACACCAGGGCCATCACTGATACAAACATTGGGCCAATTGGCGTGCTTTGTAGTGCTGCCAGCAATAACGCAACAAAACATCACCAAAGGCCGATCTGTGCAAACCGTACACAGTTCGTCAAGCCTTAAAATCAAGGGCTAATCCAACATATTTGCGGTTTTCTGAACAAACGCGGAAATGTTGGCGCCGGGTGCCGGTCGCCCGTCACCAGACCACCGACCGCCGCCTGCCCCCCACTGACCTGCGCAGCCCATACGGACAGCGCGACCGAGCCGCTCCGCCGTCGGTGCTGCCATCTGACGGTAGTAGACGGCGTCGGGGCCGGCCGACTGAGGGCGGCCCGCCTGGCGGCCGCCCAACCGGCGCGGGAACGTAGGCACGAACAACGGCAGTGTGCACAGCGGCAGCAGCGGCGCCGAGAGTGCGCACGAGCCGGCCAACAGCAGCGCCGTCATCGGCAGCAGCAGCACGTTCACGGCTGGCCGGGCGACGATGACGTCAGAGGGGAGGCGAAGAGGCTGGCGGGTGGGGGTCACTGGAGAGGGGACTAGGACAGAGGAGACATCACTTTTGCACATATGCTGGCCAGTTTCACAGCAGCCCTGCTATATCAAGGAATCGTGAAAACCACCCAGCCTTCGTTGAGAATTTCTTCACATGCTGGCAAGCTGGACAGAACCCAGCAGTGATGCACATTGATGGAAGATCTAATTTCAAGTAACAAAGCTTGACAAGACTAACACTTCACCAGCTCTGAGACAGGGGAAAGCGCCTTCAGGACCCCATTTCGACGGTCGAGAGCCCAACATGTACCGAGCAGGATGTAGCCGCGACGCCTCTCCTTCACCACCAGCCACGTGGCCTGCAGCACGAGGCACATGTACAGCTTGAACCAGAGCTGCGTCAGCCGGTTGTGGAGCCAGCTGACGACAGTTAGTTCCAGCTCTGGCCGCCACGCAGCCGCCGCGGGCCACACCAGGCGCAGCAAAAACACGGCGCAGGCCTCCGGTAGCGCCGCCTCGGGGTTTTGCCAGATCTGCGGCGTCAGAACAACGGTCTTAGCGGGTGGGGGAAAAAAAAACACGGCGGTGTTATCGGAGGGGCACAGGGGAGTAGAAAGTCACAAGCACGCCAAACGAGACTGGCCGCAGACAACGGCCTCGCGTACGCTGGCCTCACGTCTGTATGCTATACAGGAATGTCTACCAACGCTGCATAGTTACTAGTATGCCACGGGCACCCAAACATTTAACCCCTCGTCTGGCTACACGGCGTGCTTATGAGACACCCCACCACCAGCAGCAGCGAGCAGCTTACCCAGCCCCCCGAACTCATGGCCGCCTTTCGAGCCAGATCGGTCGGGACGCACAGCACCCGAGTTCACCACACGGACCTCTAGCAGGCTGGCCTCCGACAGCGAGTCCAGCAGACCCCCCGGAGCCGCCCGGCGGCCGGGGCCAGATGCCATGCCTCGGCCGGCCAGCGCCACCCACCCAGCGGTAGCAGCGCAGCAGGCAGACGGCGAGCAGGCCGTCCTCGAGGGAGCCGGCCGGCGGCCGGGGGTCCGTCTCCGTCGCCCACGTCACGTACATGACCAGCAGCAGCGGGCTCACTGGTCGCACACGGAGTCATACGTCAGGCGGACACGCAGCTGCGACAGGGGCGAAGCGCAGGGGTGAAGCGCAGGGATGAAGCGCAGGGGCGAAGCGCAGGAGCGAAGCGCAGGGACGGGGAGCAGGGGTGAAGCGCAGGGGCGAAGCGCAGGGGTGAAGCACAGGGGCGAAGCGCAGAGGTGAAGCGCAGGGGCGAAGCGCAGGGGTGAAGCGCAGGGGCGGGGCGCAGGGGCGAACAGCAGGTGCGGGACGCAGGGGCGAGGCGCAAGGGCGGGGCACAGGGGCGGGGCACAGGGGCGGGGCGCAGGTGAAAAGGAGGCTGAGCACACTGATGACTTCATGGTTACCATTACTGAGTAACTTCAGCAGTAAACGTGAATGTGTACTCATTGAACAGAAAGAAAACAGTGAAACAAAGTCGGGATACAACTTCAGACAACAGATGACAGAAAATAATTTCAGCATACAAAACAGGGCACGCCGCGAAATACATCAGCAAAAGTTGAGTAGCAAAAGATCAGGGTTAAGTAATGAAGCCAATAATTCCACCCACTTACTAAAGAATTGGCACATGGAAAACGTTCTATCCTGAGGACCTTTAATGCTCACTGCACCTGGGCACACCATCACGCCCCGTAGGGCAGCCCCCTTCCCCCCCCCCTGCCCCCAGCCCCACCACAGTCCGTGAGCGCCGGCGCGTGCGCTCGCCGCTCACCCAGCGTGTGGAACCTGACGGCAGCCTGCCGCAGCCAGCGCAGCCGGCCGCCCTGGCCGGCCGGCCGGTACGCGCAGTTCCGCACCAGACTCCAGCAGTAGACGCGCTGCAGCTCTACGAACACGGCGCGCGCCAGCGCCAGCAGCACCAGCACCGCGCCCAGCGCCGGCAGCGCCCCTGGCGGCCGCGGCAGGAAGCGCGCGGCGGCCGCGGCACCGCCAGCCGCCGCCGCGATGGCCGCGTGATAGAGCAGAGGGCACCACCAGAGCACGGGGAGAGAGAGGCGGCGGCTGCAGAGCGCGCCGGCGGCCCACCGGAGCAGACCGGCTGAAACATCCACCACACGGAATCCGTCGGTTTGGGGGACGGGGGGACGGAGGCGGCGCTAGCGGACCGCGGTCGACGGCGGATGAACTTACCAACATCATTAGTTCGTTAATCATTAGCGATACACAAGCCCCGAAATCCGAGCACAAACCGATCCAACGCGACAACAGTCCGCCATGCGCCATACGCCACTCTACGTGATCACTGCAGACGTGGTCCGTCTGTAGCCCCGCTCCCCCGGCCTCTGCAGCGACGCACCCCACCACTGACCTAGGTCAGCGCTGATCAGGCAGCCGCCGACGGCCGCCGGCCAGAGCCGGGCGTCAGGCGGCAGCAGCACCACCAGCGCCGCCTGGCAGCCGGCCAGCAGCAGCTGCAGCGCCAGCCGGCCGGCCGTGACGCACGCCGAGCCGCCGCACGCGAACACCTGGCGACAGAGCCCGCGGTGAGCGGCGCTGACCGTGGCCGCGCCGCCAGCACAGCATCAAGCACAGGGGCAGATGGAAAGAACCACCTCGCTACATACATTTCACTCTCGACGCACGCCAAGACAACGCAGACATTAGAACATCCTCACCAGTGTCTGCTCAGAAAGCCAGCCAATGGCGACGTCCCAGGGCGGCAGGACTCCGCCCAGCCAAAGCAGCGGCAGCGCGCAGATGGTCAGCCGGCAGACGACGTCACACGTCAGCAGCCAATCAGGAGCCGGAGACAGGCGCCTGCCACCAATGCCACGGCTTACATGTCACACACAACCAGGTGGTCATAAGCGGAGACAAGAGCCTTTTGTGCGAGTAAACACAAGTACGGACAGAGATCACGTGCTTTCTCTACTCTAAGTATCACTGCATTACATTCGCATAGCATTACATCGCATGTCTACATCATGCATTCCCCAGCTGACAATGCCAGCTAGAGACCTAGTGCGAGTGGCCACAGATTTCCGTACGCTTTGAAGACCGGGATATATATTTGGACAATCACCCAACAAGGCCTCGTGCGTCTCATAGCTATGCCATCGGCATGAACTGCATTTAATAACCCTTGCCACCATCAATCACCATAGCTAACAAGCACATCACACAGCACCGTTGTGGCCCCGCCGTCAGCGTCGGACCAGTCAGCGCGGCCTTCTCGTCACGCTCGTGCACGTGCGGGACTCACCCGAGCTTGATCACCAGCAGCGGCACGGTGAGTAGCAGGACGTGGAGGGGCCTGTTGAATGCGGCCAGGTCCCACTCGTCCAGCGCCTGCAGCGTGGCCGGCTCCGGCGGCCGGGCCACCGTCAGCGAGTACAGCGCCGCGCAGACACTGAACCAGCCCAGCACGGGGAACACGGCCACCATCGCCGAGCCTCGCTGTAATGGAGGGGACGGGCTGAACCAGACCGGCACGGGAAACACGGCAATCATCGCCGAGCCCCGCTGTAACGGAGGGACGGGCTGCACCAGACCGGCACGGGAACACGGTCACCATCGCCGAGCCCCGCTGTAACGGAGGGACGGGCTGCACCAGACCGGCACGGGAAACACGGTCACCATCGCCGAGCCCCGCTGTAACGGAGGAGACGGGCTGAGCCCGACCGGCACGGGAAACACGGTCACCATTGCTGAGCCCAGCTGTAACGGAGGGAAGGGCTGCACCAGACCGGCACGGGACACACGGTCACCATCGCCGAGCCTCGCTGTAATGGAAGAGACGGGCTGAGCCAGACCAGCACAGGAAACACGGCAATCATCGCCGAGCCCCGCTGAAACGGAGGGACGGGCTGCACCAGACCGGCACGGGAAACATGGTCACCATCGCCGAGCCCCGCTGTAATGGAAGAGACGGGCTGAGCCAGACCAGCACGGAAAACACGGTCACCATCGCCGAGCCTCGCTGTAACGGAGGAGACGGGCTGAGCCAGACCAGCACGGGAAACACGGTCACCATCGCCGAGCCCCGCTGTAATGGAAGAGACGGGCTGAGCCAAACCAGCACGGGAAACACGGTCACCATCCGACAGGGGAAACACGGACACAATCGTTGAGTTCCTCTGCAACAGGTAAGATTTGGAACTAATCCTGGACAGGACATACGGATCATACAAACTGGAAGCCGAAAAATGCACGAATAAAAATGCATTCTAACCCGACACAACGTATAAAGAGGAACCCATCAATGACCGCCAGGGTCCGGCACTCACGCTGACGATGTTGTCGAAGTTGGCGGGAGCGAGGGCGAACGTCGCGGCCGCCGCCACTAGGCCGGCTGCCACCGGGTGCAGCACCACGCTCACCACGCGCCGCTTTCCTGGCACCATGAATCCCCAGGTGGTCCAACGGCACAAGCCGTGAAACTCCACCTCATCGTCCTGCGCCAGCATGCTGGTCTTGGCCTCTTCCTGGGCGGTGGCGGCGTGGCGGGCGGCAAGCGCGCCGACTGTCTGCAGAACCATCGCCAGCAGCAGCACGCAGCCGCCGACCAGCAGAGCTGCTGGCCGCGCGGCTAGCAGCAGGCTCAGCGGTGCACCCAGCGCCGCCGGTGCCGTAAACAGCAGCAGTTGGAGCACCGGCACATAGAACGGAGCCGGGAATGGCAACCGTAGCCGCGGCCCACCCAGACCAGTCTGTACGAGGCGGCGGAGCAGGTAGTCCCGCTTGTACTCATTGATGACATTCAGTTTGGTGCATCCATTGTGGAAAAGAAGGGTGAAGGTGGGAATGGGGGTGACTAGGCGGGTTGGGATCTGGTCTGGTGTTGGGTGGTGTGAGGTTGAACGGAGATGAATGATTCTGAACAGAATGTATTCCTGGGTTTTGCTGAGGAACAGGGGCAGTGAATGTTTAAAGGGAAAATAATGATATAGAAAAACATCTCATGTAAGGGACTGATGGTGCTATGGTGGTGATGGATGATGATAGGAGCTTGACGAAATGACTGACTGGAAAAAACTGACATGACTGACTGAAATCTGATGACATGTTGAAAGTATCTTGGCAGTATCATCTTGATTTTAATTACCTAGCAAGGACAAACAATGTTCACCTCAGACACTTGTTTTCCTTATAAGCATGGGTGCATTCACTGTGCACTTATTGGTGTCTTCCCTGCTGCTGTCTTAACATAATAAAGCACTGCATCTGAAACATAATCATATGAGCATTCCATCCATCATAGCAAGCACAATTTGTGCTCAAATACAATATTTGATCTGTCATACTGCATGGGCCAAATCAATTGAACAGTGGCTTTGGAAAAATGGGAAACTCACCTAGCACTGTTATTGCCTAGACAGTAGGTATACTGGATGAGAAAGATGAAAATATGCTCAGTATTCAAGTTAAAAAATTAAAAGACATCAATTCATAGGCTGTAGCCTCTTGAACAGCTACAATATCTCTCAGCTGCTCCAGCCTTCAACAGATACCTTCCACTGAAAGCCTTGAATTTTCATGTGGAAATACACATGCTATATATTTCATTCTGATGAATTGACTGAGTAACTATGCTTAGTCATGCTATCAAGAAGGACATATGCAATAAATGCTATGAATGACAGATAGCTTTCTACCTACAAAATGCTGTGTGCTGTTGCTGTTGGAATTGGAGACCTTTAACAGCTACGAACACAGGCTTGTGCCTAACTACCAACTCCACCCATTGGGTGAAATACATTTCATATATTAGTAATACACCTTATTAATCTGCACTGCAAAATTCACAACACGTCGAGGCAATACGCATATACGACAATCAGCAGGAAATCATGGTGACCAAACAATCAAAAATATAAACCAAGCAACCCGCGCACACCAAGCACACTCACAATATTGATCACATACGGTCGCGCGCACCACGATGCAATCATGTTGTTGCCAGCATATACAGCTATGACGCAGCTGTGACATTCGTGGAGGCACCAAACAATCCTTGACATATTTTAGTACAAAATGAACAATAATGCATAATTGAAAGGAGCTGTTTTTGCATGTTTAGGAACTTTTGATCATATGAGTAATTATTTGTCTTAAATAAATTGTCTTATAAAAAAATGATGCAACTTAATGAGTATTACAGTATAAAACATAAAAATGTTATAGCTGTTTCATATTGTTTTACAATTGGCGCGCTGCGTTTCCCGCCAAATCGCGAAAGTATACG